AGAGCGTTTGGACTCCGGAACGCACTGGAACGCAATCCGGCCGGCTCCCTGTGTTCAGGGGTGGGAGGGGGTGTGGTGGTGCTTTGAAGTCAATGGCACAGCAGCCACGCCCCCCGCAGTGTGATCGCTGACACCCAAAAACGTGGCAAATTAGTGCTGGTGATGCACTGCGGGCGGGGGCCGTGGCTGCAATGCTATTGACTTCAATGCACCGCCACGCCCCCTCCCGCAGGGAGCCGGCCGGGTTGCGTTCCAGAGGCCAAACGCTTTGGAACGCACTCTTTATGGTGTGAACCGACCCTAAGAGGTGATTTGAGGATCTACAGCTGAGCGATACATAAATAAGATACATTTTTGTTATTATGTTAATAATTAAGCTACTTGAATGCATTTTTAAGATTTAACTCCTATGTTTAGTGTCACCTTAACTTGTTCTACTACACCTGTCTGTTGGTGTCAAGGGCTTGTGTTCCCAGATCCACACACAGTTGCTTGATGGCAAATCCAGGTTCTCGGCCTCCAATATACCAACAGCATAACTTAAAACCCAATTGTATTCTGCTTGAAACCAAAACAGCTAAATTAAAAAGGTATTAAAACCAAGTCTTTTTAAAATGTTTCACTCTTTTTTTTTCTAGTGAACTGAGGTCCACCGCCATGACAAAGTCTTTAATCCCATCAGCAGTTTGCAAAGGAAGAACCCCTGCACTCTGTGTGAGAGCAGCAGTCTCTCTGCAGCAGTCCAACTTGCCCCCTTGCTGAGTCTTAGCTACTTCTATCCACTCAGCAATGTGAATGCTCCTTGCTCAGTGGTAGCTGCCTCTGTGCACACAATTTCTCCCCATTAGGAATGTCAAAATGCATATATACTGGTATGAACATATAACTACAAATACAAAAGATTAGAAACGGCACATCACACGGAAAGTTGTTTTCCAGAAATAAATCCAGTTTTTATTATATCTTTTTGGCTTGAGATGAATTAACAGTAACATGAAGTCCACCACTCATTTAGACAAATAGACATGTACAGGCATATGAATATAGACAGGGCAGAGCATCAGCCACAGTAGTTATAATGTAAACATAAAACATTTCAAGTATTGCCATCAACATGTATAAGTGGAATTCATGTTTATTAAGGTATTTCGGCAGCTGGAATCTGCATCTTAAAGATGATCAGTATAACTATAAAACACTTTTTTTATGGTGTTATGGTAGAGATACGAAACTAAAAACCTTACATTTCGGAGCTGAGGAGAACCGAAGCTACATTTCCTAATTAAGCGTTATATGCTTTCCATATTAGAAGGAAAATGAAGAGAGACCTTTTTCAGCTGGTTGGATCACTTTGGTTCAAGTGAACAGAGGATAAAAAGGATTTCTGAGGACTTTTTCACTGACTGATATGCACTAGGAAGAAAAGTTAGTGTGGTTTGGACAATATTTTGGTATAGTTTTTAATTACTGTAATGAGAGATACAGTACTGAGTACCAGCGTAAACCTTGAGGTCTGTTTTCCTCACACCTTATAACGTCAAGTTGCCCAAACTCTCTTGGTAATTAATGAGAGCTCTGTACTTGTAGGTCCAGTTCTAGGGAAGCCTGCACAACTTGAGTAGAAGGGAGCAAAAAGTGCTTAAAGGAGAACTATGAGATGAGTGATTTCCACTCACCTCATAGTTCTAAGCCGACCTGTGACAATGAGACTGTCACAGGTCGGCTCAGTAGATCGGGAGGTGAGCGAACACATACCGGGTTTCCTCACCTCTCGATCCTGTCACGGCTCTCTGCCGTGACAGGGGAGGGGCTGCATTCCCCCCTCCCCGCTCCGATCTGCCAGCGCTGACTGGCGGAACGGACGGGGGAGGGGGCGGGTACAGCTGGCTCTGCCTCTAGATAGGCAGAGCCAGCTGTCACTCACGCAGCTGGGCAGATCCCGTCATCTACGTCGGGATCCGCTCCAGGTGCGGCGTCTCAGTATACCGCGAGCTGTAGCTCGCGGTATACTGAGCTTAGGGTAACGGGAGGACGCTAGTTTGTGTCCTCCCGTTACCCTAAGGAGAACTATGGGGAAAAACACTGACCCCATAGTTCTCCTTTAATCCTTTTGTAGTGATCACATATATTATTATATATATATTATTACTGAAATACAATACATTCCAATGTACCATATATGCTTATTCTGCTGTAATCTCTTATGTACTCCATATACACTGTACACACACCTGAATTAGAAGTATAGTCGCCTTGCACCATATATGTGGGACAATAAATGGCTACGTTAGGGATGGTAAAGGCAACTGTAGAGTAATATTATATTTACTTTCATTTTCCTTTTTGGAAACTGCAGCCCTACACCAAACACAGTGAGAAAAATACACATTAAATCTTTTTTAGTAACATCCAAGAGTCAGACACCATATAACACGTAACAAATGGTCTTACACAGTACACATTTGGGCCCCACTGGTAAAAACTGGAAGGAAGAAAAGTGTGCTGCCCAGACCAGTTTCTGACACTGATTAAACTAGATTATTACCAGCAACACAGATGCTTTTCTTTCCATCATCTGTTAAAACGTCAATAAAAACTAAAAACAAAAGGCTTTTTGCTGCAATTCAGCTTCATGTCATCTTTGAAAAGACTCTTGTTGTGAACGGGTTAAAAAAAAAGCAATGGAAAGGCACGTTCTCTGTCTACCTCTAGTGGCCGGTCATATTCATTGCAGTCACACAGATCTGTTATTTTGGCTTCAAGATTGATATTTTGGCACAAGGTGTATTATTGATATTTTGGCACAAGGTATTATTATAATGTCATAGAGAGCACAGATGTCAATTTGGCACAAAGAAAATAACAGCACACTATGTGACTAGACAATGATGAACACACACACAGGATGTCTGACAAACAGGCACACACAATGGGGGGCCCCAAATGCACTGTGATTGCATAGAAGAGAGAAGAGAGAGCGCAAGACAGAGAGAGAGCGTGAGAGAGAGAGATTGCCTCAAGCCTATGAACACATTAACTTCACCACCTTAGTGTACACACCTTCATTTTGCATTAAAAAAAAGAACATTCTAAAATAGCTTTCAAAGTAAAAACATCAGTTCTACCAACTACTAAGACGAGATTGTTAGTTGGTCAATAACTCTACATAACCTGTTCACTTTAGGTTTCATTTTAAATGTTTAAATAGACGTTTTCCCTGTTGCAGGTATAAAGTTGCAGCTTCAAACACCTGCAGATACAGCTACATACCAGGCAGTTCTGAGAGACAATCCCTCCTGCTGGCTATTGTATTCAGACAACAATGACACCAGCAGTCTGGTTGGATAAGGCCAATGTTTGGTCAAGACTTTTCCACCAGGCTCAGTCTAATTTTAAATGGATTTAGCTGAGCAGGGTAGTGCAGACAGGGTCTGTAATGGCTTAAATTCTGGCCCATTCAGCAGGAACTGTCAGAAATGTAAGTTGTGTGTGGCAGGCTTAAGTTCCAGCAGCTCCTCCTAGTTCTAAAGCTTGCCCACTTCTTGCACATTTCTATTGGCCATTTAGGCAGTCCATGATAGTGACGGGCCAGTAACAATCTGAGGGGGTGGGACTTATTGGCAAGCTCCAATGCTAACCAATGCAGGATTTTGAAGCTGTTGCAAGCCTGTGTAGAAACCTCTAAGTAACTGCACTTTACATCTGCAGCAGTTTGCCCCAGCCCAACCGAGTCTCATGAAACATCATGGCAGAAAAATGGAGGATGCTATTACTAAGCTCTTCTTTGGAATATACTAATAGCCTGGCAGTCAGGCTGAACCTCTTTGACTCACTAATCCGGTACAAGTATACAGCTAAGGAAGGACCCCTGACTGTTCTTTGAAGCCCATGATTTGCATATTTGTTCTGGGGCAGTTACTAAGAATGAAATTGCTAACGCCAGAGATTCATCATTTCAGCAAGTTCACTAACATTTTTAAAAGGAGGTCAGCAATGGCAGCCCCTTATTTCCCTCAAGACAGGGTTGCTTAAAATGATTTGGATAATATATACAATTCTTAGTCTGCCATACAATATTACTATTCGCACAAACATTGCACACACGCTTTAGGGGCATCTTCTAACTACAGAGGTCACACTTTGTATTAAAACACAAAAGCGTCAATTCACAAAGCTGCATGACGTATTTTACATTTACATTGTTATCTCCTGATAATGTTTGCACCAATATGTTCAATTTACAAAAAATAACATAGCATTGGCGTGGAAACATTATCTTTTCACGTGAAATTAACATTTAACTACTGCTAATAAATCAATATGTTCCAACATCTTCTCTCTCTAATAAACATCTCATAATAACTCGGGTGTACTGAGCCAGCTACTATTACCATAGCCAGCTGTACTTTTAGGAGCAAAACTTGGTGCAACTATCTTTGTGAATAAGCTTTTATATGCAGGAGCCTGCAAAAATCCATAAAGTATACTTTTAGAAGATGTATGTGATAAAACCTTTACTGAATAAAAAAAATCAATTGTAAAATGAGCAAATGACACATGGTAATGAAAATACTGCATGCATTATGCTTTTTTGAATTGACGCTGATGTAGGTCACAATTCTTATGTATAAATGTTCAAGTTTGGTCAAAACTGGCTAAACTAGCCAACTAATTCACTATGACTGTGGCTCACCTAAAGGACATGTTCCCAGAGAAAGATTTCTCTCTCCTTTCAGCTACATTGTCTTTGCTTTTCTCAATCATGCTATTTGGCAGAATTCCTCATTCAGACCAGTGACCAATTCCTTTGATGGCTATCACTGCAGGCAGGCTCCTGAGAAAGTCACCACAAAATGGCAAATAGAGCAGTTCTGACAAACACATCATGGAAATGGAAATGCCAAGAGCTGACTTGCAACAGCTTTAGGTGACAACATACCTGAAAGCAAGAACAATCTGCAACTGGGTGGAGAAACCCTTTAGTTACGTATATCCTTGTTTATTTCTCCCTGCAGGAAAATCTAATGTTTAATGATACCCATAACATTGGTGAGCAGTATAATGTGTAGTGAAAGGACTGTAGAGGCACATTTTACAGGGATGATTAAAAATAATAAAACACATTGAAACAATGATAAAAAAGGAAACAATCCTATACAATGATATGAAAGCTTGCTAACCCTTTCAGTCTTGTACCAGCATACAATCACATATGCTCTAATGGCTTTTCTTTTTAAAGCTGCAAGTGAGATTCAACCAGAAGATTATGCTGTAGTTATGGAAATAGGATGGAGAATATTTTTTTCAGGAATGGGAGGCACTGGAGAGTTTTAGTTCCAGGGAATGGGGTAAGTAAAAGCTGAAGTCTTTGGCACTGATGGACTCTGCAATGGTGGGCCACTTGGTTCTTCCATCAAAATCTTAGACAGCCCTCAGTCAGTCTTCCAAACCTTGTTCAGAACCTTCACAACTTCATCATAGATGATAAAGACAATGGCTACATCTAGACATACACGCCCAAGACGAGGAACAGTCCCCTTGTAAAACCTAAAAGAAAGGGCAGATGGCAACTTAGACATTGGCAGGAGATATCGGAAATATTAAATGAGTCTACACCATATGTAATGCTAGAAGGAGAATTCAGTGAATGGGGATTGAAGGATATGGGAACAGAATCTGTTAAGAAAATAAAAATGAGTAACTCACGCTTTGGGTCCCTCGTACTTGAGGATCTTATAGGCACAGTCCAATGTACTTTTGTATTTATGAGCTTCCAGACCCTGAAAAACAAAAGAATTCACATGTAACGTTATCTTTAAACAGCTTAGGACAAGCAGATCTACTGCCACGTAAGCCCTCTTTTTTATTTTATTAATTCTGTCACTCCACACACCCAAATACAGAAGCTTCTTTCTCATGGAGGAGGATAAACATCTCATACTGTTTTATAGGCCAACAACGCTATAAAAAAAACTTTCCATCCAATCCAATGCAGAAATGACATTTTCATCTCAGCCTCTTTCCTCGGCTATTATTTTACTATTATTTTTTACCATTAATATTGATTTTTTCCATTAATTTAAAAAAAAGTGTGAAATTGAAAAGCAAAACTTTAATTTGTAAATAACTTTACTATGCTTTGCACTAGAAATGTAATGTTAGTGTCATTATAAATGGGACATATTTCATCATAAAATGTAAACTGTCATGTACAGGAACACTAGGGGGTGTATTTATGAAACGTTTACAGAGACATTAAAGGAGAACTATGAGGTGAGTGCTTTTCACTCACCTCATAGTTCTAGCCGACCTGTGACAATGAGACTGTCAACAAAACTGACATTTACATTCTTTCTGTGTGAACAGGGCAAAATCGAATGTTTTCTTTTGCATAATAGATGTCATTGTTGGAAATTATGGCCACTAGATGGAAAACAAGGAGCATAGGAAATAAACACTAGACCAGGGGTGCCCACAAGGTCGATCGTGATCTACCAGTCGATCGCGTAGCGATCACTGGTAGATCGCCATGTCCTCTCCTCCCGCCGCTTCTCTGGATCCCCGCTGCTCTCCCCCGCGGGGATCATCGTTGGTAGATCTCAATGAGCTCGTCATTTGAAAAGTAGATCTCCAGACGAAAAATAGTGGGCGCCCCTGCACTAGACACTAGTGGTCTTATCTTAAGTAATTACAAACTTATCGACAATCAATTAGGTCCATAGCGGAAATGTAAAAGAATTGTTCTGGTCTATAGGAACAAATGCTGAACTCATTACAGAGAGAAACTAACATAGTAATAGACCACTTTCCAGTTAAATGCACAACCCCTTTGTAGGCATATAGCCCAGTCCTTTATTAAGCAAATATAACAAAGAGGTACAAATATTCAATGACATAACGTGTAGGTTGAACCAAACTGATTAACTGAAACAGACAAAACCAATGAGGTCCTTCCTCTGGCAGTGGCGAAGGGCAGTTCTTAATGAACAGAGCTCACATAATCATGCTCAGTGAGTACTGCTCAGTGAAGTAGTACATAGAGCTTGTGCTGTGCGATGATGCCACCTCAGGGGTATACCCATTATAGCATAGGGTAAGAGGAAGTATGTTGAATGACACTGGCCCTCATACAACCCAGAAGAATCGTGACCTCTATTGGTGGCTAATAAATACTGTGGTGAGCTGTCCTGGACTGAAGGTGAATATTGTCTCTGGGTCATTCTTTTTTTGTAATTTTGGCTGGAGTTATGCTTAAAGAAGAACTTCGGGCATATTAAACATTAACCCTTGCAGAGGGCCTACCCCCACACTGCAAGGGTTCAGTGCTTGTTTTGGTCTAGGGTCTAAAATAAAAGATATACTCACCCAATTCTCAGTCCTCTGGTGGTGACCGCTCACCTCTCTCCCCCTCTGCTCTGGCTGATGCCCCTCTGTGTCCTCACGTCCAATGCAAGTGAATGGACATAATGACGTCATGGGTTCTTAGACCACTGGAGTCGAGGGGGAGAAGAGACTCCAGGGGCCGGTCTAGCAGCCAGACAGGACCAAAGATTCTAGACACCCTAGACCAAAACAAGCTCTTAACCATTGCAGTGCAGGGGTAGCTCCGTTGAAAAGTTTAAGGTTTAATATGGCCGGAGCTCTTCTTTTTTTTTAAAATTCTTTATTTATACAAGCATGAGAGCACCGTACAGTACCAACAAAAAAAAATTGTTAGGCTTTGCGGCCAAGCATGTACAAACATATACATATGTCAACATGTACATACATAAACACCTCAGGCCTGACCCCCCCCACCCCAAAGCCATTCCCACACCATATATCCATTACGGTCTGCACCGGCACTCTCAAGACATTTTCGTTTTACTGGTGTAGGACTTAAGAGAAAGTACTACGGATAATACCCCTCCATCTAGAGCGGATAGTTCCACTTATACATACAAAGAGCACAAGAGAAAAGAACAGCAAGACGAGAAAAGCAAGAGTACATGTAACACAAAGACATGACAATTAGGGAAGGGGAAAGAACAGTCAATTGCGGTTCCGCGGATGCCCAGCCTCCTGAGGGCCGCTCCACCTTTGCCTCATCCCTGGTTATCATGTGGGAATTCCGGGGAGTCCCTGAACTGGTACCATGCCGCCCATGTAGCAACAAACTTCTGCTGGGTCTTTTTTATGGAAGACGTGAGGTCCTCCATCAGTTTGATCTCCTCCACTCTTCCTACCCACATCGCTATAGAGGGTTGGCATGATTGCCTCCACAGTGCTGGTATACACGCCCGCGCTGCATTCAGCAAATTAATCAGTAGGGAGCGTTTATATGATTTTCGTGATAGCGGTGCCAAGTGGAGGAGATACACCAACGGAGTAAACGGTAAAGACAGGCCTGTGATCTTCTGGGCTAGATTCGCAATCTGAGCCCAGAACGGGGCAACCCTAGGACATTCCCAGATTACGTGTAGCAGGGATCCTACCTCCTCCTCACAACGCCAACATGTTTCTGACACCGACGGATACATAGCGTGTAGCGTTTTTGGAACCCTGTACCATCTTGTCAGCAGTTTGTAACCAGCTTCCTGATATTTAGTGGACACCGACGATTTGAGAGCAAAGTGCACCATACGGTCCACCTGTTCAGCGTCCAATTCTTCTTTAATGCATTTCTGGGTTAAAGTTTTCTTCCTTTTAGTTTGGTAAGATATAGGGTAATATCTCATCGTTTTTTTGTAAAATAAAGCTGATCCATCTGGGCCCACATGTTTGTGTCTTTTGAGTTCTTTTATTGCTTGAAGAGATTTCTTCTTTATTATTATCTTCTTCTAAAGCATCTCAATAGCTGTGGTAAATACATTTAGAGTCTTGCACATCTTATAAAGAGGTTGTAGAAATATACAGTTTAGCCAAGCAGGGTTTTACCCTAACAATGATCTTCTATGATTAGCTCCTTTTTGCCCTGCTAAGTGTAACATTGGAAGCATGTTGTTATATCTGTTCAATAAGTGCAAAAATACCGGCTGATCCTTACACAAATCTAGTGATCTCATAAATTCCTATAATGAGCTGACAACTCAGTGCCTCTGCAGCACTGAAATCTCAAACAAGGTTATCAGCACTGCCTGAATACTCTCTGTGACCTGAAAAAAGTCTTAAACTTCCTGCCCAAGGGTGGCAACACTCTTCTTCCACAGGTATAGTGCAATGAGAGAGACTTGTCACCCTCGGACAGGAAGTGTGTTACTGGCAGGACCACAAGGTGAAGATATAGAAATGAAACTCTGAAAAAATAAAACAAATGCAGCTACAGCATCTAAGAACTGGTAGGCTGCAATATTTTAAATGTTTGTTCTTCGGTTTAGATCCTTGGTTCTCAACTGGTGGGTCGCAACCCTGTGTTCAGTGGGTCGCCGCATGCCTTCCCCTTTTCTAGGTGATGGGGCTCCTCTGCCTCCCAATAGCGCAGCATTGTTAGTTCTTACGCCAAGCAGCCATTCAAAATATGTTGAGTGTCTGCTTCAGGTTGGATGAGATGGAGCAATGGCCGCGTGGGAGCTCCATCTATGCGTGCATTGCTTACAGCTCCCTCGCATGTCCTGTAGAGGTGCCTGGACCAGAGTGGGACATCACATTCTGGCTCTCGGCACCTCTACAGGGCATGCAAGGGAGCTGTACAAGCAATGCACATGTGGATAGATCTCCAGCAAAGCACATCAGCCCACACTGGACCCCAGGCTGAGGATCCAATCCAGTTCTCGTAAGGTAGGGATATTGGGTGGACCTTAAAAAAAACATCTTTTGGAGTGTGTATGTGAATATCTGTGCGTGTGTGAGATTGTGTCTGTGTATGTATGTCAGTGTTTTTGAGGGCCCCTTCACACTAGTACAGTGTGTTAATTGCATAGTACTGTGTGATTAACACACTGTACCACGCAATCGCACATTCTGGTGTGTTGCGTTGCCATTCGTTTCAATGGTACCCCAAATGCACCTCCCACCCACAGTTTGTATGCCTCGACCGGAATGTGCGGTACCCTAATGCCGTACGTTCCATTGCAGTGCGACTTGGTTTGTAAATGAATGACCAAGGACAAATGTGGGTCCTGAGATTACACAGGTTGAGAACCACTGGTTAAGATAACTACTAATAACAAACATAGGATCCTGTCGCAAGTGAGAATTTGCCAGTAACAAAATTCCTAGAAAGTGCAAGGAAAACACTCACCTGGTGTTGCTCCCTCACTGACTTTAAAATGCAAGTCGTCAGCAAGAGATTGACATGTCTTGTCAGCCAGCGCAGGAGCAATCCATAAAAGCAGGTTAGTGTTTTACCTGCTGTGACAGTTGCAATATGCTTTAACACATATATTTAGAGGACCTTTATCTTTAGTCCCATTTAGGTGACACAAACGGTCAAGTCTTTACAAAAATTTGCCTTATCTGTAAACACATCTGAAGAATCTCTGACAGTCTGTGTAAACCTAAAGCAACAATTCACCATATTATATTCATCATCATTCTGTTAAGGGAAAACCCGATTAACTACTGTGCGGAAACACAAACCACCTAAAGCTGGCCATACACCTTACAATTATCTGCAGATTTTCTGTGGTCAGATGGAAAAAGTGCAACAGATTGGCCCAGGTGGAGATTACTCCATCCACACAGTTAAGTGTAGATGGAGGAATCTGATGCACCTTTTCCACCTGACCATAGAAAACCTGCAGATAATTGTAAGGTGTATGGCCAGCTTAAGACAAGTCCGTGTCTTCTGCGGGAAAAATATATATTAGCAATGCTGTTCATATTACCTGCAATCTGGTCTTCACAACATCTAAGGGAGTGTTACCAAAGACACTTGCAGCTCCTGCAATGGCTCCAAATGCTCCTGTTATTAGTGGGTTCATTGGTCTGTTAGGATTGTCACCTAAGATGTTAAAAATGCATGTTACTGCAGGTCTATACATATCCATAATGATCAGTTTTTTGCATGTTAAAAAAATCAATATGCCAAAACACAGTTTCCACATGGCTCATTAACTGACCTAAAGAAAGTTTTCTGCCTTATTACCAGTCAAGCACAGGCTGATCTTGCAGCCAATATAAAAATTGACTAGGACATCAATGATTAAAATAAGACACTGCAACGCTTAAAAAATAAATAAATAAATAAAACGAGGAAGACATATTGGTAAAAAGAAAATAAAGTGATAAAAAGGTCAAAAAGCAAAATGAAGAGAAGAACTAGCTAGGAAAGATACAGAAGGGAGGTAAGGAAGGCAGCTATACAAAAAAGGCATAACCTAATGATATACCTCTGTACCAGTTCCGAAGAGAGGTCATGACAAAGAAGCGAATTGCTTGGTTGGATCCTTGCTTAAGCACTGTAGCTGTGAGACCTTGATAAGTCCCTTTTATGCCTATGAAAAATACATGACAAATGACAACAGTTAGACTATGATGATGAAAGATGCAAAGAATGTCCATTCATTTCAATAAACCACAAAGTAAAATCATTGGGACACCACAGAACATAGTGTTATCAATGTTGAACATATAGTATGAGCTGATATACTGTATCTAGGGATGTCCCGATGCCACTTTTTTAAGACCAAGTACAAGTACTTTGCCGCAGGTACTTGCCGATGCCAATTACCGATACGGTCCTCCCCTGTCAGTAGGCATCGGGATCCCCCAGCTTTGGACACAGGGGCGGTCACTCCGGCTACACTGCCGGTAGTTCTGCCCATGGGGCTGTCCATGGCTGTGCCGGGAAGGAGGAGGAGATAAAGAACCAGGCAGGCACTGCCATGGACAGCTACTTGCAGGTGCTCAGCAGCTGCTGCGGTTTAAAAATTTACCGGTATCTGGCTTAAGAATCGGGGCAATTTCACAAGTACTTGTGAAAATGCCTGGTATCGGCCCCGATACCGATACTAGTATCGGTATCTGGACATCCTTAACTGTATCTATTAAATTCTTGGACACTGTGGCTAGGTTCTTCAGGCTAGTGAGAGCCCCCAACTTAGAAAACCAGACAATGATAGACAATATATGGAAAACCTAAACAAGCAGTACTGTGCTGTTAAACCAACTTTTCACAACCAGGGTGTGGTGGCACCTTGGTGTGCCTTCTGGTTTTCTAAGGGGTGCCTCGAAATCTGTACACAAAGTCATGCCTCTGAAGAAGGCTCCAGATGTGAAAAAGGGGGACTCTGATGTGAAGGCGGGGGCTGTGATGTTAAGGGAACTCTGATGTGAAGGAGCAAATCCCACTTCTTTTGTGTGTTGTAACAAAACACGTAAAATCTTTAACCTCCCTGGCGATAATCCCGAGTCTGGCTCGGGGTTAATTTTCAATGCTAGGAGCGGTAACCCCGAGCCAGACTCGGGGCTGCACAGAAAAGTGACACTCACCTTGTCCATGCGATCCCACGGCGTCCTCTGCTGTACGTGGCTGGAAAATGAAACTAAAAGCCGACATCTGACTTTTAGTTTCATTTTCGGGCGTCACAGCAGGCGGGAAATTCAAAAGTGAAAAGTTGCAATATACACAGAATTGGGCTACAGCATAAGATGAACACTGAAACTGGATTCCATTCCTATCAGTTGAATATAGTAAATCACTATTCACAAATGAGCATTTGCAGGCAAGTTTGAAGTTTTTTGATAGTGATAGTGCAGTAGCGTTAGAATTTCTTGGTTAGCAATGCATACATTTTTAGGCCTGAAGATTAGGTAAAAAAAAACCCCGGATAATATAGTTTCTTAAAGCAGAGACCCTAGAGAATAAAATAGTGGCAGTTGCAATTTTTTATGTCACACAATATCTGCGCAACTGTGCATCAAACCCACATTTTTAGTAAAACATGTATTCAAATTAATTTTAGTACATACCTACACAATATAATATTCATAAAAATATAATAGACGAGGTTGCATCAAGTAAATAGATAGATGTGTCCAGGGACAATCATCTATCCCAAACGGCATGTAAGTGTTCCACGTATAATTACTGAGAGATGCTGTCATTGTCACCCTGCCATTAACTTCAATGGGTGCAGCGGTCACATCTGAAGAGGGACACACACCTGAGATTCCTGCTGCAGGAATCCCAGAACACGGCATAAGTCCCCATGTGAATTGGGCCTAAGTCTTGTTGTAGGCTGACAACACACAAGTGGTTTTATCAGTCCCTCAGTATTGTCAGCCCTCCCAGTTGTCTTCTGCTAAACTACTCAACAACTCCCACTCTCAGATCTCCACAAACTAAAGGCTTATTATTCTGTAGGTCAAAATAAGAACTAGGAGGAGCTGTCCTGTGATAGGACAGGAAGTAGACCCAGGACACGTCTGAATTTCTAACAAGATTAACTTTTTTTGTACTCCTCAAACCGATATAACAAAATGCTTTCAATTGCGTACTTAACAGCCTAAAAGGAATCAAATAGGAGAAGTTAATTGTTAGTATTTAAATTCACTTCAAATATATCACTGTTGCAAAGACACACAGGGAAAGCTTATACCTTGATCTCGAATAATCTCCCTGACTCCATGGAAAAACCCTTTGTACTTTGGATTCGGAGAGCACTGGTCATGAATAAACTTCACCTACAGGGAAAAAAGTTTTTTTTAAAATGATAGATCGCTCATGCTTTTGTTAACCTCTTAACCTCTTCTCCATCAAGTATGTTGTTAAATGGGACATTAGAGGTGTTTAGAAACATCCTCCTCATCCATAAAACTATATTGCATCTTCAAAATCAATTTACAG